CTTGGCAACATTGCTATCATGGTCATACGATGACCCACGCCCGTCCCGTTTAACATCCAAAGGTAGGTTTGCTTACCAAATCAATGATAAGTCAACAATGTCAAAGGAATAAAAATGCACAAGAAAGATATTTGAGTAGGTAGATGGCTTCTAAGTTACTTGCTCCATTTCCAAACAATCCTTGCTATTTTCAAAAACAAACACACACACACACATTTCAAAACATCTTGCAAAACATTGAAACATTTTTTAAAAGATAAAACGTCTTTGTATACATTCTTACGAACGAGAATCATTACAAAGATTTCCTAAACGAATGACTTCTTTTCAAAATACTTTCAAAATCACATCAAGCACCGTTTCAAACAATTTCTAAAGCAAAGCAAGTGATCTAAGCAAGTAACTAAGAGCCCATGAAAAACCATGGATGAAAAGGGTGCTAACACATTCCCTTTTCATAATCTACCCCTCGAACCCAAGAAAACATCTCAAAGGTATTTCCTGTGCTTTTTTACCTTTCCTTTTGGATAAAATAAAAGTCAGTGGCGACTCTTGCTAACCGCGACATTTGCGACAAAACGCAAAACTTCAAGTCAGTTCTCCCCCCGTATCACAATGACGAAGAGAGAAAGGTGTACATGCTGCATAAAGTATTGTGTGGATTGAAACAAGCTCCAAGAGCTTCGAATAAGAAAATTGATAGTTTTCTAAGGAAGAAGAAATTTGTGAAGTGCACAACTGAACATGGAGTATATGTAAGAAGAAGCAATAGTGAATTGCTTATATAATATCTCTACGTCGATGAATTGTTAATATCAGGTAGCTGCAAGAAGGAGATGGAAGACTTCAAAGGTGATCTCAACAAAGAATTTAAAATATCTGATCTGGGTGACATTTTATATTTCCTTGGCATCGAATTCTACAAGAATAATAGAGGTTTGATGATGCATCAAAGAAGATATGTAGGAGAAATTATCAAGAGATTTGAGATGAAAGAATGCAACTCAACATCGACACCTGAGGAACCAAGATTGCAACTATCGAAAGATTCAGAAGAAGATGATGTTGATCCAACCCAATACAGAAGACTTATTGGATCATTAAGATACCTTTGTCATACGAGGCCTGACTTAGTATACAGTGTAGGCATGTAAGTAGATTTATTCAGAAGTCAAAGGTATCAAATCTAGCAGCAACGAAGAGGATACTGAGGTATCTGAAAGGAACTCTTGACTATGGTATTTTGTTTCATGCAGTTGATAAATGAAAAGAATGTAAGTTAGGGGGAGAACACTTATTCAAGTTGGTATAGTGATGTTGAGGATCGAAAATCCACAATAGAATATGTGTTCATGCTAGATGGTGCACCGATTGCTTGGAGTTAGAGAAAGGAATCAATAGTGGCATTATCATCATGTGAAGTAGAATACATAGCTGCTTCTCTTTGTGCATGTCAAGCAACATGGATGGTAAACTTGGTCGAAGAGATTACATGTAAAGATCATGGAGCAATTACCATAAAGATCGACAACATGTCTGCAATCAATCTGGTGAAGAATCCGACAACACATGGTCGAAGAATGCACATTGAAATGAGGTTCCACTATATTCGAGAACAGGTGGCAGATGGGAAGATGAACTTGGAACACTGCAGAAATGAGAATCAGATTGCAGACATCACGATGAAGGATGTGTAGGTCGAAGTATTCATCAGACTAAGAGCTATGATGAATATAGATAGCTTAGACACAATGAACTAGGTGGTGTGTTGAAAGTGTAATTCTTTGTGTCAAAGAAGGTTGTTGCTCGCCACAAGGTGTGTCGAATTAGTCTATCAAGGTGTGGAGGCAGTTTGTTACACACAGAATTATTGTAGATCTAAAATAGATAGATTTGATTTAGATCTAAAATAAGTATTTTTGGCTTTTTTGTTTTGTTTTGGGCTTTGACTTATAGAGCAAGTTAACCTAAATCTATAAATAGAAGGAGTAAGTTCTATTTTTTTGTTATCAAATTGTATTCACAGAATTTACAATTGCAAGTGGATAAAAAGTTTTTCTACGGTTTGTAGACAGAGTGAAACTCTACGGAAAATCATTTTCTTTCATTCATATTTCTTATTGTTATTGTGTGGTGATAACAATCATGTTCATCAAAATTTATAGAAATTCATCATAAATTTTAGTGAATTTTCAATAAAAATCACTGACATGAACTTTAAGATTTTCGGTATTGTTAATCTTTTAATTATAAAATACATAAATTTTGGACGAATTTAAGATAATAGTTTTAAAATTGTAAAAGATAATTTGATCAATTATTAATATACAGTGTAAAGGGTGTCCGCTATAAATTGAGATAAACAGGTTAAATTCTCTCCATTTACAAGTACCAACCTATGTGTATAGCTTGGTAGTTAGATTAATCCAGAATATAAGTCAGCTTAAAATAATAGTTTACCTTAAGTCTTAAAATATTAATAAATTAACAACTTGAAAAATACCAATAATTGCTTCAATAGGTACTACTTGTTGAGATGCTTGTTGGTGATAGCAATGGGATTTGTTCAAATGTGAAAACAACAAGATTTCAATAGCTCATGGATTTATAAACGTAGCTGTCCGGTTGACCGAAACAACACGCACCGGCGTTGTAGTGTCTGGTTATGAACAATGGTGGACTCAGCGATGATGCATACATGTTACCTGCCTTCTAGAATACTCTCACCACAACCACAAAAATTGTCCACACCAAAAGCATAAGAAAATTGTTCTTATTTGTAGTCGCTTAATTTTAATAACGGGTTTACTTTCTTTTTTTTTATCGATTTAGCTTTTATATTTTAAAATTAGATTAATTTAAAAGATAAGATAAGATAAGTGTTGAAAATAAAAATCTTTAAATGAGTTGAAAAGTACTCCATTAAAATACAATACAATTACATGTCTCTATTAATGATGACAGGTGAAGGGCCCCGCGTTAAACAATGACTTAAGACCCTATGGCAATTTTATTTTACATTTTAATTAGCTAATTATACTTTCATGCTAAAAAAAAACATATCTTTGCAGAAAATTAGTTAAAAGTATTTATTAACTAGATTCTTCAGACACATTTATAAATAAAAAATAATAATTAAATTAATTAAATAATTAATATATTTAATATATAATAATGACTAAATCTATTATTTATTATAAGATAAAATAAATGATAAAAATAAAAATCTTTAAATAAGTTGAAAAGTACTCCACTAAAATTCAATATAATTATGTGTCTCTATTAATGATGAGAGGTGAAAATATCGTTTCTTTAATCTAAAAAATTTGTTTTAAAATAAGTGTGTTTTACTTTTCCAATATAATATTAGTTGATTTTTATCAATTTTATTTTTAATTAATTATATTTATATTATTTTTAAAACATTAAATTTTACTAAAAATAGTCAATAATCATTAAAAACAATTTTATAAATATGATATATTTATTTTTTCATTTAATATATATTTTTAATTTATGTATTATAATTATAAATTTTTTATTTTGAGACGGAAGGAGTACAATTGCACGTCTCTCTTAATGGTGAGAGGTGAAGGGCTCCCTGTTAAACAATATTTAAGATCCTATGGCAATTTTATTTCATTTTAACCAGCGAATTATACTTTGATGCTAAAAAAAATATCTGTAGAAATTTAACAGAGTTTACTAGGTTAAGAGGTCATTAACTATTAGGAGTGGGAATATGCCCATCAATTAACAAGCATTTACGGTTTTAAGTACAAAAATACATAGATTTTATTATAAGTCTTTTTAGTTAGATAGACTAGATGACATATTATATTTAAATCTATTAAATTGGTTTATTTAATAAATATAAATAAATTTATTATTTTTATATCATATTTATAAGTTATATTAAAATATAAAAACAAATTTTAGTTACTTTGAAGAACTTATATTGAAAAACTTTATCAATAATATTTTATAAATTATTTTTATAATTTCTCATAAATAAATAATTGAACAAAATTTATATTACTATATAAGTTCAAATAAATCAATGTAAAGAATAAATTATATTTATAAAACTTAATTATTATTTATAAAAAATAAATTATGTAAGAATATTCTTCATAATTATATAATTATATAGGAGAGAGAAATTTAAAAAATTTAAAAAGAAATAATAATAAATACTTAAAATATATTTAAAATTAATAAATATTATATTAAAATTATAAAATGATTTATAATTTAATGATAAATTTTTTTAAAAACTATCTTATAATTTATTATAATTTAAAATAATAAGAGAAGAAAATTCATAATTCAACTTTATCGTTTAGAGTCTAACAAAATCTTCAACTAATTAATGATAGCTCTTTAGAGTAACTCTAATGGAAGTTCTTTCTCAATTTTTACAGTGTGACGAACAATGCTAGAATTTAAATGTTAATTGTATGGCAATACAACGTTTCTTCAATTTTAAGAAATAATAAATTAATAATAACATTGTTTTCTTTTATTTTATTTTTCAATTTTTTCTTTAATAATTTATTTGTTTACAAATGTTTTTCTATTAAGTTTATTTTATATTAACAATTTTATAAATAATTTTTTTCTTTAATAAAAATTAATTTTCTTTAATACTTTTATAAAAGTTTTTTTACTTTAATTATTATTTAAGTTTATTAGATTTATTTATTTATTTAACATTAATATTTTGAATTAAAAAAAATTAATATAAATAAAATATTAATATAAAATAAAATTGTAAAATCTAATATAAATACTTTAAAATTATATTATTAGAGTGAAAAATTAATTGAATTACTTCAAACTGACGTGGTTTAATAGGTCTCATAGATAACTTAAAAATGAATTTACAATTGAAAATGGTCTTAGAGAACTCGCATACAAGAGTGGATTCGAATCCACTTCATATTTGTGCATGGTAAATTTAACACTAACTAACTATTTGATATAAGGAGAAAAAAAACTCAAAGTGAAGCAATCAAGTGATCATCATCATGTTGAGCAAAAAGAGCAACATCCTCATCATATTCTTCACATTCAGATTGACAAGCCGTACATAAGCGTTGATTATAATCTTCCATTTTACCACAAGGTATAAAGTGGGTCTTACAAAGCGGACACGTCTTCTGATCATGATCAATCCAACGGTCCACACAGGTCTTGTGAAAAATATGTTTATAATTCGTGATACACCTGATCTCTTCATCTGCGGCGTCGAGGAGGTCGGAGAGGTGGAGGAGAGAGAGCAAGGAGATGGCAAGGGATCTTAGGAAGTCGAGGAGAGAGAATAGGTGAAGAAAAAGATTGGGAACGGAAACTGAAAGGTAGCCTATAGAGAATTCCATTATTTTGAATTCTAAAGAGAGAAAATGGAGAGAGAGAGAAAGGTATTTCTGTGATTGAAGATGAGGTGGGTGATATATTTATATTTGGTGATGAAATGGGGTTTTTATTCGTATAAGCAAGATAATATTAACCAAAAAAATTAAGAGTTCTCCAATTTGAATATAATTTGAAAAGTAAATGATTTATTTATTTTGGTTTAAGAAAAGGAAGTTTATGAGATTATGACAATGAAATTGTCAAAAAAATAAATATATAATAACAAAACTCAAGTAGACCAACTAAAGAGATTAAAAATGTGAAGTCAAATTCGATTATAGAGGGAGGATTTTATTATAGATTTTTTTTAATAAAGAACAGATAATACTTTAAGGGAAATTTTTAAGTATTCATAATGAATAATTGTATACTGTTATCTTCAGTTTAAATTGATTTAGAATTTAAATTTATTTAAAAATTTAAATAATTATAAATAATGAAGTATCATTGAATAATAATATTTGATTGATATTGTTGTCCAATTAAACTCAAAGATACTAGAGTATTCATCATAGTTTTAGTTTAATTATTTATTTTTAATAAGTTATCTTCTTTGAATTATCGAAAGTTAGCAAGTTTTTAAATTATTTCTTATCTTTTGAGTTAATTATTTGAATGCTTTAAAAATATTACTGAGAATGATAGTTTATTAAGTATTTTGATGGATTGATTAAAATAGTTTAAAAGTTGATTTGCTTATAGTTTGTAATTCATGGTGTACTTGAAAAACAGCAAGTCTTGTATCGTCACAAAACCAAAAGAAGTAAGTATTGTATGGTCATAAATAGAGGGTTCGAAATTCTTTGGCCACGTCAAAAATAGAAATTTTGTTTTGGAATAATCAGATATTAAATTTTTTTTTGTAAATAATCACGTTTTAGGAAAAATTACGCAAATAACAATATTTTAGATGACTCTTCAAAGGAGGAGCCATCTCACTTGGCGCTGTTGGCTGAAGATTTTGATGATATTATTAGAAGCAAAGTAAATTGGACGTTTCGATTGAAATGAAACAAAATGTCATGTTTCGAAATGGTAGAAGCAGTGCTTCGAATGAGCATATCAAAGCTCGGAGCTTCGAGTGACAGTTATGAGAATATATCCAAAGAAGTCTCGAAATGATAACAAGGCTGTGTCTAAGAAATGCGTTCGAAGCGAAGAAGTGTCAAAACATTTGAAATTCAAATACAAGCGGGATGTTCGAAATTTGAAATATATGCGCTGGAGCATTCGAAGACGCGTGGAAGCAAGAGAGAGGCATTGTTCTGCATGTTCTGAACGTGGCAGAATCTTATAGCAAGACCGTTATGGTCGAAGTAGTATAAATAGAAGTCTTAGCATTAGGATTTCGTGTGTCATATCTATTGTACAAAAAACTCAGTAAACATTCAAATTACCACATGGCTAGAGAAACGAATGCAAGAGCAATGTACGTATGATAACACCACATGTTTATGATTTAATGAAAATTCTTTATCATTTCCAGTACTTTCCTTTATCCTTATGTCAATCCCATTTACAAGTTTTTGCATCTAAAGTGTTTTTATTCGAAATCTTTTCACTGATGCCTTACATTTAAATGCTTTCTTTCCATTTCAAATACTTTACATTTCAGAAACTGTTATACATTTCATGCCTTTATCTTCAAGTTTTTATCCTTCGAATACCTTTTTCACTTAAAGCCATTTTACAGTTTTCTTGCATTAAATGCTTTCTTCATATTTCGAATCTTGTACATTAACCGTTTTTATGATTCGAAGTCATTTACTTGTCTTTTATGCAGTTTTTACATGTCTTTACAATTGACCTTTATTCATGCAATTTAGTTTCGCGCACATTTATTTGATCACACCTTTAGATCTTTAAGAGAGAGATCGAAATAAGTTAAACACCTACACAACATTCTAAATACCAACCATGAATACCAGTTCAATCATGAGAGTTACCCTAATGACCAACACGTCCTAGGATCAATCTAGTCGATCCTGCGAGTTACCAGAGAAATTGAATAACAGTCAGTAAGTTTATTCGATAGTTTGGAGGACTAGCGGTTGTTTACCAGAAATCACTGTAAACAAATTGGCACACCTGGTGGGACCAATCGTGGGACATTACGGAATTTAGAACAGAAATAAAGATTGTTGAGACGTAACCATTATAAAAAGACCCTCTGAGTGATAAGTATGTTGTTTTATGAACCTAAGAAGTGGTAAAATAACCAACAGCAACCAACCCTTATCCAGAAGAAAACGTTTGAACAAGATGTCTAATTCTGACAATCAACAAGGGGAACAAAATGCCCCACATACAACAGGCACTAATGTGCCCGCTTCAATGGGAACGTCTAATGTGATCCCTTCGAATGCACAGTCTTTTGCATCCTCCACCAATAATATAGCCACTAATGGAGTAAGTGGCATATCAACTAATAGTTCGATCTTAGGAAATACTGGAACCATTGGTTATCCGGGGGGATTCGTTCCACCATCAGGGACACAAACCCATTTCGCCACCCCACTAACTAGACCACCCGGTTTCGATGGTAATAGAACCAGAAATTCCTCTTATAGAATGCCAACATCTTTTATGGCAGGTTTACACAATTCCACATCGAATTCATCACCATAATTAGGGTCTGGGTCTGGGGCGAATCAGTTTATGACAAATAACCAAGGATCAGTGGGTTATAGCGCAATGCCTATTTTAACCACAGAAAACCAGTTGGCTTTTAGGCAATTGATGGATGACAGTAACCATAATATGATAGGGGTATTAGCACAAACTATGCAGGAAATATTTACCCCAATAGTACAAAATGTGATTGTGACAAACAGAGAAAACGCAGATAACATGAGTCGAATAGAAGATTTCTTTGCTCCCCCAGAGAGGCGTAGGCAGAATCAGGCGGGAGTTCGAGCAAACATACCTATTATGGAACAAGTTGCTAACGACCCAACTTATAGACCACCTAGAGAAGAAGTTAACTTGGGGGCAAGGGCACAAAGGCTAGAAGCCCCAATGATCCCAGGCCCATAAAGAGAAATTATGGAACCAGGGGCAAGGGTCGAAAGGCTGGAAGTCCCAGAGTTTCGAGAAGAACAACCTAGGGGGGTTGTCATGGTGGTTCGAAATCAAGATGCTGATGCAGTCGTTCATAGAATTCGGAACGATAACATCTTGGCAGAAAACAATTTAACCACCATGATAGAGAGAGTCATGGCCCAGAATGGCCTAAATACAGGAATTAGAAGGCCAAATTATGCTTCTCCTATATTAGATTACATAATGCATACTGATTTACCAAGGGGATATAAAGTCCCTAAGTTTACAAAGTTCGCTGGGGATACCAATGAGTCAACAGTCGAACATATAGCCAGATATCTAACCGAAGCGGGAGATATAGTCAATAATGAAGACCTCGGGATCAAATATTTCCCAAGTTCCCTGACTAAAAACGCCTTCACATGGTTCACCACTTTGCCTCCTGGGTCCATTGATACTTGGGTTCTTTTGGAGAGATTATTCCATGAACAGTTTTACATGGGACAGTCAAAAATAAGCTTGAAGGAATTAGCCAGTGTCAAGAGAAAGTTCACTGAACCCATAGATGATTATCTGAATAGATTCAGGCTTTTGAAATCCAGATGTTACACAGTGGTGTCTGAACATGAGTTAGTCGAAATGGCCGCTGGTGGCTTGGATTACTCTATTTGAAAGAAACTAGACACTTAATATTTGAGGGACATGGCTCAGTTAGCCGACAGGGTTCGACAGGTCGAAAGGCTAAAGGCCGAAAAGGCCAGAGTCTTTAAAAATAACAAGAAGGAAATGATCTCCTATGTTGGAACTGAGGAAGCAAAAGATTATCCTGAATTCGAATTCGAAGAGGTCGAAATCGACCTCGCTGAATTAAAGCAGGCACCACCTTACTCCTGCAAATTATTAGTTCCCACAAAAGGGAAAGAGATTGTTGAAAATGAGAAAAGTGAGAAATTCCCAAAGAAGGTTTATACCTTCGATGTCACTAAATGTGACGAGATTTTTGATTTACTTGTCAAAGATGGCCAACTCATTGTGCCATCAAATGTCAAAATACCTCCTTTAGATCAAAGAAAGAAGAGAGGATTTTGCAAATATCATAGTTTCCTAGGCCACAAAACCTCACTGTTTTCTTTTCAGGGACCTAATTCAGAATGCAATTAAAGATGGCAGACTGAAGTTTGCTGATAAAGCAAAAATGAAAGTGGACGAAGATCCCTTGGACGTCGCAGACACCAATTACTCCGAGCCTGCATGCATTAGAGAGATTAACATGGTGGAAGCTAACCAAAGTGATGCCCCAATAGGAGAGAAAGGTACTGAAAACGAAAGTTGGGTGATAGTCGAAGTCGATAAGGAGGTCACTGAAGACGTCCAGAAGCAACCAAAGACTTCGATTGAAGCAGCGCCTTTAGTTGTTGCAAAAGAAATCCAGGCTACTGAAGGCCAGGAAAATCAACACCAAGAATTGACACAGGTCACTGAAGGACTGAGGCTGGAATTGGAGAAAGTCCAAATCACGAAGCCAACTTCCCCTCAGAAAGAAATATGGGACACTTTAGGGGAACCCAGTGGAAAATTCAACTATTTGGTCAAATATTCTGCTCTAGAGAGTTCAAAGGTCCACATTGAAGATATAAAACCCACAGGATGGGGAGATGATGACGCTAAGGGGGAGGATGTTGAGGTAAACATGGTGGATATGGAGAGATCTCGCTCTGAGATGGAGGAGGTAGAAAGATACTTAGAAAAAGAGAAGTATAAAATGGAGGATAATCATGCTGGAGATGCTAGTCTCAAGGATTATCTCATGACGTGCCACAAGGGAGATACAGGAATGATACTGTGCCCTAGGTGCAGCATCCTCTGCAATCAGAGAATCGCTGCGAACTTCGAGAGGGTACAGAGGGCTCGAACTGGCAAC